TCTCCTAAAAAGCTGCAGACAGGGTTAGTTATGAACAAGAAAAGTAGCAAACCTAAGGGAGACGATTTGGGAAAAAAAATCCTGCAAATTAGAAAACCCGTTTCTTACAAAAGTAGTTCGAATTGAAAATATACGGAACGTTTGCAGAAGGTCGATGATACAGCAGAACTCACAGATCAAGAAATTTGAGTTAATCAAACTGATCCTCACTAAACTAGAAACTTCTGGCAAAGAAACGAGACATTCTATACCAACTAGGTTTCTTACAAATTTAATAATGAGCACCAAGTTCGACCTTAAAACCTCTGCTATAACTTCGCACAATCAGACAATGAGATACTATACTCTTTGCGCTTCGTCTTTTTGTTTTCGTCTTCGTGGCTCCTCCAAATCTATTCAACGATAGAAAGAGTACGTCAATTAGAAATCACGGCTCCACCATTGTGCCTTCTTCTTTGTGTTCCAGTCTTTATTGCCTTGGCTTAATTTTAGCCTCAGGATTTCACAGTGATATAAAAATTTTTTTAGTTGAAAGACTTTGTGTCTGCCTTTTTGGGTTTTACGTATTGCAATACTAATGTTCTCTATAGGACCCCGTCTGAAAAATATCAACAGTAATGACTTGCACAGAGAAAATGCACCACATAGTTCTATGAAAATATTGAAAATGAAGAGATCTCTTAAAATAAACACGCTTAGAAAAAAAACCTTCTCAAACGAAATGAGTTTTTACGTACCGTCCGTCTATTTATATTTTGCGACTAATGCCTTTTAGATTGTTCTGGATGACTCAGTCAACTATTAACAGGAATCGTTAGCGGAGCAGGTGATGTAATGAAAAGGATGCCATGTTCCCTTCGTTTAACTGATAACTGTCGGCTGCAAGTGATGCTAATGACCGGGAATGGGCTAACACAACCACCTCGACATCTCCTAAAGAAGTCGGTCTCTCAATCAGCAATTAGCCAGTAATTGACTAGTTATTGCTCCAAGACCAATACAGCCCATCTATTACGCATTATGGAGATTATTTCTTGCCTTTTACCCTCTACATGCACTTCAGCTCTCACTTTGATGAGGAGTCCTCGTGGAGGTGGCAAAGCATGTCAGGTTTTGAGTAATGACTGTAGAGTAAGCTTAGAACAAACGGATCGAAGCAAACCATTTAGATGACAGGATCGTGTTAACTATCCACAAAAAAAGAGACGCCGTCACGAATACTTTGCTGCACATCAGCCAATATTCATCACGTCGAGACCCGTATGAGAACATAACAGCTTGTTACAGTATTCCTTTTCTTCAATTTTCACAGCCAAAACAAAACTATCAGCCAATTTTTGTTCACAAAGTCGCGCAGCTGATGTGAGATAAAGCAACATCCGTAAGGAGTAGTTGCTCTATGAATTCTTTGTTGGAAAGTTCAATATCTGAACAAGAAAGGCCCAAAAAAAGTGAACAGAGGGTCGAAAAAGTTTCAATACGAGACTAGGACCAAGGTTAGTCGACAAGAAACTCCACAAGGTTGATGGAGTTTCTTGTCGACTGAGCGCCTCTTGTATGGAAATTCACTTTTGGAGACGGGAAAAATCGCCGCTGCGTATGCGAATGGCATAAAACTATAACTCACATGGTGGTCGATAGTTTTCCTCACAAATAGAAAGTGATCCCTCTTTAATAACGTCGCAGTAACGTTTCACTGGACTGGATCTAGTCTACGTCTCCTTCGTTCAAAGATTCTATCCAGATAAAAACTGGAAAAAACCTCTAGCATGGACTAAATAGGAGAAAACATTACCCGCATGTGTGTGTGTGTGTCTTTGTATGTGTATGTGCATGTGTATGTGTATGTGTATATGTGTGTATGTATGTTAGTCTGTACAATTTTCAAAGGATTATTATTTCGTGTATATTAAAGATGTCGGATAAACTTCAACTTACCGAGGGTTAAGCAAGGGTTTCTCCAGAAGCTATCTTAAATGGGTTATACACAAATAGGAGTTAGAAATCTGTTGCAACTAACAGCTGCAACAACTGCAACTGCAACACGCAAATAACATTTTAAAGTGTACAAACGACGTGAAGAAGCATCAAGATGATAGGCAGCCATAGCACCTCTTATCAGAGGGTGGCTAAATCAGTGCTGGTCCAACCATGTCCAGGCCCAGCAAGCCTCTGACCCACCTGTGCTCGGAAAATTTCTACCGAACTTGTCTGGGAAAAAGTTCACTCTTTGCAATTCAAATGGGAACACCCTAGCCCCTATCTCAGAACTCTTAATGACGAATCGACTCGAATAGCATTCAACTTAAATTCGTAACGAAGACGAAAATTCTCAACAGCAGCCGAGAGCACAGGCGAAAAGTTCGAATATGCTCGTGGATGGTTAAAGTGCGGGAACGAATGGAATGCATGAGGTGCTGCATCCCACACAATAGATGTGAAAATGGGTCATGTAGAATAAATAAGAATAGAATAAAATAAATAAAAATAAGAATAAAATAAAAACAGTAATAAGAACAAGAATAAAATAAGTAAAAATTAGCTCTTATAAAACACTTCATGAGCACGCCCAAATAAAAGAGCTCTAATTTGTGCAAGACTGTTAAGAGACTTGCCAAATAATCATAGTTAGGTGAACAGAGTCTGTTACTTCTTTTCGAAAAATGTGGAACTCTCATATATATTTGTTTATAAGTGATTTTTAAGAAAAACTTTTAAAGAATGACGTTCAATGCTTTGCACATATACACAACGCCCCGTTTAAGAGGATTTGACCAAGTTAAGGAAAGTCTAGAAAATAAACAGGATCTACTACAAGTATCATAGAAAAAAAATCGGCTATGCTTTCAAAAAAGCTGCAGGTAATAAAAAGAATCCGAGTGTTACAATTCTGATTCACCCCAGTATTATGCTCGGCATTGCTCATCATTCCTTGGGATAGAGAGAATATGAAGAGAAAAAGTCGCTCAGCGACGTTGAAGGGAACAAGTGATGCCGATTTATTTCATTTTTATACAACAAACTGTAAAGAGTCGTTTATGCGATAGAAGTCTGACCTTTTAGTAACTCTGTTTTGCAGTAATTATGAAATCGATTTTAGTTTTATGCCTAGAAAATCGTGAACGAACTGCTCAGAAAAGCCGTTGCAAACTCACCCTTATTCCTGAAGTCGTTGCTTCTACAACAAGTCGTTGTTGCTCGTCATCACCTGACGAGTCGTTCGATGAAGTTCCACCGAAGAACATTCGTCCACGTAGCCACTCCATTTTGAAATCCGGAAAGCGAAAAAATCTAAAGTACTAGTCGTTGAGATTATTATGGTAGATCTACATGGGAGCTCAAAAAACGGGATAAAAATTGCTAAAAGATGTTGATGAAATCCTATTGATAAAGCTGAATCAAGGAATGAATATAGGAAATGACACGCAAAGCAGAGGTGAATGTTGGCGCAGCTATTCAGTAATTGGCAAAAAGATAAGGGAAGGAAGGAGAAAAAGTCGATGAAGAAATAGAATGTGAACTAGAAAATGGGTTAAGAAAATTGGTCGAGAAGGTTTAGAGCTTCACTGTCGATTTATGCGAAGTATCTAAGAAAGAAAAGAGAAGAAATATGTAGTAGTATATGTTAATTTAAGATTTTTGGAATCACTGGTAATGTCAAAGCTCCAGAAGAAAATAAAATATTGTTTAAGGAAACCAGAAAAAGCAGAACAAAGAGAGGAAACCTATGAAAGCACTACTGGAGTACTGGAAACGGAAATGTACGAAACGAAAAGCTGAATCTCATGTTCCAAAAGAGGATTGTGCTACCCGGCTAGGGAACATAGTAATCCCTTCTTGAAAAAATTCTAACCAACCACTAGTTCATAACAGAGAAAGTCTGTGAGAAATATTGAAGATGTTTTGCCAAACAAACCTAAGCGGACAGCATAATCTTTTGGCAAGAGCTCGCTTATCTAACGAAAATTGAAACCAACCATTGGATTTCAAAAATTCTTTCATATAGTTCCCAGGATCGACTTTCTCTTAACGTCGGCATTGGAATATGAATGTGTCGTTTTCTTGTTCAGCAATCGCGAGGTTTTTAAACAGCATACATTTACTTCCATAAAAACACAATACAATACAACGCTAGCTGACGTTTCGGCAGTATCGCCTTCTTCAGAGCCGCTTTTTCGTGACTTCCAATGAGGAAGTTCAGAACAGCTGATTATAGTCGCATGTGGTTGACGACTTAAAAACCTCGCGATTGCTGAACAAGAAAACGACACATTCTTTCATATATTTTGACAGAAGTCTTCAACTTCTTTAGGAATGCTGTGTTCAATGACTCCGACTTCAGCTATCGTAGTATTTGTTCTATATTTTTATCAAAGCAATCGATAAGGCATTGAGCTCTTGCTACGAGTAACACGAGTCTTCTCGACAACATATGAGAACAATTTCGTTGCAGTGATAAGATTAGAAACGTTGGTAGTGAACTGATTCTGAATTACAACGATCTCTTGCACTGGAGCCGAAGTTCTTTTTTCAAAATAATTTCCGATTCATGGAAGCACATCTTTTTTGAACATGTCTTCTAAGCAGTTCTTCTTTTTGATTGATTCCTAGACGGGAATCTGTGAAAATCATGGAGTTCTTGTCAACACACACGAAGTGATTTGGGCACAAATCACTATTACAGCCGCATTTTTCGAGGCGTATCTCTCACAATTGTTGGCTTCCTCTGTGCTTCTAGCGTTAATCCAGCATTTTTAGGAACTGAATAACTGCTGAGTGGAAAAGAGCTCATCGCAAAGTGCACACATGAATGGCACTCCTCCCTCAGCAGGTTTGGGATTCTTCGACTCATTTTTTTTTCGACCGCCATAAAATGAACTTTCTTAAGGATTTAGCGGATGAATGCAAGATATGATTTCAGTACTCTCTGAAAAAATGCCTGTTCTCGGTTTAGTTTTCGAACAGATGTCGTCAGGTTACTGCGTAACGATCATCACCAGATGGAGAGTGCAGCCGGCTACATGACGACCTGTTTACTAACAATCCAAACATCCGTTGACATCGTTATCTCGGTGTTCATGGGACCTTTGGAACGCATGGTGAAGAATCGCTTAATGCCCACTGACGGCAATATCAGAAGTCGTGCAGCTGATACAGGAAAAGTAGAGCATTACAAAAAGAAGAAATGGCAAGTGGAAAATTTTAAGTGGGAAGTACAGTAACTGATGTCTTAAATATATAGTTAGCATATCAGAGAAAATGATAGGTCAAGGTAAACCTGACAGAGAAATTGTGGACAATATGTAGTATTTGTGGGGAAAGCGCTAGATTTTTACGCGTAGAAGGCGCTCTATCACTTCGACGACTGCGACGATGCTCGTTACGTCCCATGAGACTAGCATGCTATAAGTTGTTAAGCGAATAGCTGAAAATGAGTTCGTAGTATAAAAAACGAATGTGGTGATCGTCGATGTCGATGGCAGTCTTTAAATAACGAAGCCAATTTTCCGTTACCACAAAGACATCATGGGACGAGCCATCGTAAAACGACCTCAGATTTCCCTGAGATGTAAATCTAGGCGTATCGATCTCAAATGCAAAAAGAAATGTTACTAAAGCATTCCAATAGCGTGTTACGTTAAACGCGTTAGTCCTCGGAAAGGGTAAAGCGCGTTCGATCCCCGTCACGGACACATGTGGTCAGTAGTTTCTCAAATATCTCAGCAACGTTGTGGTTGTATTTCGCTTAGTACCCTGCCGCGAAATTATAGTAGGCAGAAAATAAGAAGGTATAACATTGTATCTCAGCACCATTGTGGTTGCATCCTAACAGGCATCACATATGTTACTATGTAGTCATCATTACACTCCAGTACAACAAAGCTATCATCAAACACAACATCAACAAAGGTGGAACATCAAACAAAACGCTACAAAGTGCTTAATAACGATGGTTTGTATCAAGATTTCATTCGTCTTAGTTTTCGTTTGCCATTTAGGTGTTCTATTATACGGATACACAAAGGTCTGCCCGTTTCGCCAATATATTCATCTCCACAATTGTTACAAGAGATCAGGTATATCGTACCTGAACTCATGCAATCACCGTCCCTGCCGTAAGGGCAAATTACGCAATTTGTTGTTTCACATAGACGGTCATACAGGCGGTGACGAACTAATTAACTACGTAGAGTAGCCGGTGGTATTTCAACTATCGCTACCGATTCCTCTAGACCTGCCCTTCTTAAGCATCGTTTTATAGTTACGCTTACTTCATCGCTTATAAAAGGCAACATAAACGGGATTTTCTCTACACCTAGATGGCAAACGAAAACTGAGACAAAGTACCCCACTATGCACGCATAGGACACAAAAGCATAGCGGAGGCGATTTTGAAGTAAAAGTCAATACCCTTGCACAGGAGACTAAAGCACCAGCGCGAAAACTTCTTGAGGCTTTTTGGATAAATGCCAAAAACCCTACAATGAATAGCAGGGATGATTGCCCGGAGGTCACACGCGACCTGATCCCGTACGTTCGCATCGATTTTTGATGTGGGATGGTGCAGTCGTCAACCACATGCGACTATAATCAGCTGTTCTAAACTTCCTCATTGGAAGTCACGAAAAAGCGGTGGGTTTTTTCGAGAAGTTGTTGATCATGTAATTACCAAAGAGTTTTTTGTCTTTTTGTAAGTGTTATTGAAGCGTTTGGCCCAGTAGATTGTATATCAGTATACCCTGCCAGGCTCTGAAGAAGACGATACTGCCGAAACGTCAGCTAGCGTTGTATTGTATTGTTTTTTATGGAAGTAAATGTATGCTGTTTGAAAACCTCGCGATTGCTGAACAAGGAAACGACGCATTCATATTCCAATGCCGAGATTAATAGAAAGTCGATCCTGAGAAATAATAGCTGGTGAAAACAACTAACAGCGTTTCTCTCAACGAGTTTGACCACAGAAGCAAAGGCCTCCTGGCCGTCGTTCAAACGTCTGCTTCAATCAGTAACACTAGGATTCATTAGCTTAAATCTCAAAAATATTAGTTGCTGATACTGAAACGAATACTACTGTTAGAGAAAAACGATTGCTGAATTGATGCGAGTCACAGAAATACAATACTAAACTTACAAAAGAAAAAACCACCTACAATAAATTGAAAATAAGAATTTTCCATGGTTCATCAATTTTGGTGTTATAGGCAGTGGTAATCAGTTGTATCGAGCATTAGCACCATAACTACCACCACCAGTAACTGATAACGTGATAAACCTACGAACAGCTGACAAACTCCAACACGAATCAAGTCGCACTCTTGTTGATCACCTGACACTCGCATTGTACAGAGGTGTTCACTCTGTGTACATGGATTCTAGTTAGAGAAGTGTAATGCCATAAACTAGTTTCCGCACCTGACACTGCTGAAATGATTGTCGGAGTTCAGAAAATTCCACGTTAGACTATCAAGATAGAAATAGCAGACAGTTAAATGCTCTAATTATAAGGTGAAGGTAAAAAACGGCTGACAGGACGGCGAAATGAAGGACTCGAATGGTGCGGTGGGTGAACACGTCGGCTCTAGGAAAGGGTGATAGCGTGTTCGATCCCTAGTGTAGACACCTGCGTCCCCGAGTTCTGCAAATAAGTCAACATTTTATTTCAATATCATTATCAACCTCGTGTAAGCTCATCAAAGAAAGAATACATATTAACTCAACACCATTGTGGTTATAATGCAATTCACACCCTGAAATAAAAAAAAATGGATAGTAAAGTGATTACAGTGTGATTCAAAAGGTTATAGTTTTTCTATGACCTGTCCTTAACAAGGTGGTATCGTTAAGTAACAGTGTCAAAAATTTCGGCGAGTTTCACCTTCTTTGGACCTGTTCTAATTTCTGGCTCACAGTTTTTAGGAAGTCAGAGAAGCTGCACATATTTCATTCCGGGTGACGAAAATGCTACTGGCAACGTGGAACGTGCTGGTGGCGTACTTATAACACAAAGAAATAATATATTTGTCGCCATCTAATGTGAACTTCCTGCAGGTGGTCGAGAGAAAAACAGTCTTGAGGAAAGCAAAGAGGGCATCCTGTCTATTCTGGAACAAATACTACATGAACAACCCTTTTATTAGCATAATGGCCCTGAAAGACACTCACTTATTAATGAATGCTGATGTTGATTAAACATGTAACGTTTGAAGGGAAATTTTTGTTAGTTGACGATTATCAAACGATCACTGGAAGAAGTGAAGAGTCGAGAGACTTTTCAAACCTATATAACCTCTGTTCCATCGTCTTAATCGTTAATGTAATTTATACGTAGTACTGTTTCGAGTTTAAACGTGCTTAGAATTGGAATTTTCAATGATTGATGGGAAAATTTGAGTACTGAATATATCCCATGGAATAAGGGCAGCTGCATACATAAACTCGATGTATTGAGAAACACAATCGTGTCATCCTGGACAAAACCCGGTTTGTTCAGCTGCTTACACGTACGACTTCCGTGAGCTAAAAATATGGAGGAAATATGCGTCATGAACTCCGGAAAGTGTGAATTTTAAGAGAAAATAGTTGCAGATTCTAATGGTTCTCATACCAAGAAGTGAAGTGCAATACGAATTATGATAAGAGGATAAAGGATGAAGCTCTCAACTTTGATCAGTCCCTGAGTGATGTGCCATGCATTGACTTCATTAAGCATCGCTAAGGTGAATGAATGCAGATTTGGCCTATCTACTGACTGGCGGTGGTGAAGCGATGTGTCGAGTTAGTGCTACCATCCTCCCTAAAACGTCCTGTTCGTTCTTCTTCGTCGACCCCGGAGGAATGCAAGGCTTGGTGGATCCAGGAGGCTGGAATGAACTAACGACCACGTGTGTATTTAGGGCAGCTCTAAGCATTGCGCTACACGTGCCATGAGTTGAGATAGATTGGTTTAAAGCTGGAAACAACCACTATCTTTGCGCTCAGTGCATTGTAGTGAATACGTGTAGGGTGTAATGTATTAAAAGCGATGTTCTGGAGTATAAACTATGATTTTGCTGGGCCTGGAATTCATTAAGACAAGAAAAAGTGACGTTTAAAAAATGCTGAAAAAATTGCAAGGAATGTGGTGAGTAGCGGGAAGTGAGCTATACGCTGAGCCAGTGAAGCGGAAAAAATCTGAGCTCGCCACAAACCAAATATTGAGACGTTTTGATAGAATCTGGCACCGTATGCCTATGTAGATATAGTTAAGCATACGAACATCGTATGTGATGAACTCGAAGATCTCACACGACCTTTCAGTTTGATTCACTTGCCGTCTTTCCAGATGTTTGATTAAATCGGTAAATCCCACGACCGACTTTCTATTAACTTCGGCATTGATCAAGTAATTCTTCGTATTTTTGTTGAGCAAACGCGAGGTGTTATTATTCTTTATTCACGAATGAGCTGACGTTTCGGCGGATTTCGCCTTCCTCAGAGCCGCTTTCTATGAGGTCTCCACAAGTATACATTATACTTCCATGTGATTTCTGTGCGGTTGGTCTCTACGTGACATACTTAGTGGAAGCCTCATAGGAAGCGGTGAGTGTGCAAAGCTGTGTTCAAAGTGATTGAAATCTTGGTTTGGGGTTTCTTTGTTTGGTTATGGAGGTGTTTGGCCGAATAGATTGCTGTCAACTTGACCTTTCCAGGCTCTGAGGAAGGCGAAATCCGCCGAAACGTCAGCTCATTCGTGAATAAAGAATAATAACACCTCGCGTTTGCTCAACAAAAATACGAAGAATTACTAAAACGGTAAAAACTTCCCATGAAATATAGAAAGTTCTTTACTGAATATATGATTGTAAGAGAAATGGAAATCCCATTCTAGTGAAGTTTAATTCCCATTTCTAATCAAAAATGCACCAAAACCGAGCAGTTTTTCCAGCTTTTCTTTTTGTTCTTCTTATTCAAACAGCCCATTTGGTGTATAAGTGGTCTGTGAAGAACAAATACTCGTTTTTGGATAATGTCGGTCAACGCAATAGTACAGAGATTGCTGAAAGAGCGCAGGAAACCTAATTTGAGCTCACGACATTTAGAGCTCAATAGAGCGTAAGGAGTCAATAGAGCTATAGAATTCTTGAATGTAGCGTGGCGAAGAGGCAGACTACAGCTTCTAACGTATTCATTCATAAACCATTCATGAACTTAATCAATTAGGTTCCATCAAACTACGGATTAT